TATATATAATACTTTTGGCATTGGCAATATTGCTAAAAGGCTGTAGTAAATTTCAGAGCAAAGTACATACTTGGGTTATTTAATGTGTTCCTACATCAGAAGATATTGGGAAATGCAGTAATTGGAAGCATTACATTGGATTATGGAAGCACTAACAAGAACCCAAAAGGCTTGGCCAGCCTGGTCTGAACCAGTGGTTCTTATCCAAGGGCAATTTCACCCCTCAGGGGATATTTGGTGATTTTTATTGACATTTTTGGTAGTCAAAACTGGATGTATAGTACTAATTTCTAGTGGGTAAAGGCCAGGGATGCAACTAAACATCCTACAACCCAAATCTACAGGACACCCCTCCCCGCAAGAAGAATTATCTGCCCCAAAATGTCAATAGTAACAAGGTTGAGAAAGTCTACACTGATGGAGATTGCCTCCAACTCCATCATAGTCCTTGGTTCTTGGTTTAATGAGACATTCATTAGACCCCGGTGTCACCACTTTTAATCTCATTCATCTAGATAGGGCTTTGATAATTGAATGTAAACAATCTCTAGTAAATACCATATCCTTTCAAGGCTGCTTTTACAAGTGGCTGGAAAGAGAAAAATAAGGTATTCTAAGCCCATTCTTAATTTCAATTGAAATAATCTAATGAGGATATGATGTGAGACAATTTAGCTAGAAGTCACACTATCCATTAGACAGATTCCATAGCTGCATGAATTAATTGGCACTTTATTGAAAAAGCCACAATGTTCCCTTCTGGGACCAGGTTGTGAGTGTGGATGTGGGTGTATATGTGAGAAAGTGAAACAGAAAACACAAACCCCAGATTGATATAAAGGACCTTGGCACCTAAGGACTGAATCAATATGCTGCAGGGGTGAGAGTGGGAAGAAAGATGTGTTCCTAATGGAATGAACTATGTGAGTCACAAAGGCTTCCAACCACTGCCATGGCAACAAGGGAGAAGAAAACACATCTGTGTTAAGAGAATGGGAATCCACCGAAGCCATGAGATACTGCCCTCTAGAGAGAAAAAAGAAATCTTAAGGTAATCAACATCCCCTGATAGACAAAGAACAAAGATAGGAAGCTAATCCTGTCTCACCTCAAGCCTGAATAGGAATTTGGATGTTATTTTACCAAACTGAACCTTACTTCCTGATGAATCCTATGCTGACCTTCATTCACTTGGCTTCTTTAAATCTTCTCTGGTGAGAGCAAATGGCCATGAGAATAAGGGGAAACAGTGTTGGGAAAGAAATGGGTTTGTTTCTGGGGCCACATTGTTCTTTTATTACACCCACTTTTCCAGAGCCAAAGGAATCAGTCATTCAGTAAACACTTCAGTCCCCAAAGCTTAACCTTACCCTCAGTACTAACACTGACATCCTCTTAGGCGTAAGGACTTAGATTTACCCCAAGAAGACAACATCTAGCAGACATTTGCCACTGGGACAACAAAAAATCTGGTTAAAGACTGAGATTGGAAATACTTTGATTTTTTCCCCCCATATTAACAATGAGTCACACTGGCCTCTTAGATGGGGTTGAAGTTGAAGTTGCCTGGAAGTACAGGGTAGAGCTGGTTTTGTAGATATCTCCGAGACCAGGGATCTACAAACTATAACCCATACTTGTAAGCCTGTGGCCTGTTTTCATATTTTTAAGATGTTGTGAAGAAAAAAGAAGATGAGACAGAGACTGGCTGTGACCCACAAAGCCTAAATTATTTACTTTCTGATTCTTTACAGAAATAGCTTTCAGACTTGTGCTAGATAAAGGGCCTGTTAGTGACATGCCTCTGATGGGTGGAACAGATGGACTATAGACATATGAATGGCATGTGTGTTATATGTGGGTGTTTAGAATGGTACTCTGAAAGATGCAGTCTCCTATTTTCTAAACCCCATCTCCTTACAGACCCCTGAGTTTGGAGGCAGGGGCGTGGACATATAGCTTCAAGACGGGACACCTTTGTAGTAGATGTGCCTTGCGCCTTAGCACAGCCAATTCTGCTAAATAATTTTTAGGCTCTTGCTATTCCATCCTCTATTTGACCACATATTATTAACAAAACTATATGTGTATGATTTTTTTCACAAATTTTTCTTATTATTTTACTCAGGGTGCCCCTGGGCAGAAAGGTGCTAAAGGTGATCTTGCTTTCGCTCAAGGTATTATTAAAGGAATGAAGGTAAGAGTCTCTCAGGCAGACAGCTGAGTAGGCTGTATGCTGAGTTTTCTGGGATTGGGCCCCACTCCAAAGAAAACATTTCCAGAACTAGCATCTGTGTCTCTACTTAAGGATCAGACCAAGCTGGATTTAAAAGGATCTGGAGCTTTTTGTGGTGGAAACATTGACAGAAGTGTTTGCAACTGTACTGTCAAAGATATTTGTGTGTAGGATCTATAGCAAAAATAGGAGACAGATCAGCAAACAAACACTTTGCATGGGTATCATTTTCTTGACACGCTAAGACATTTCCTGGAGTCAAATACCTTTTGTCTACTTTAGAATCCTTGTTGTCTGCTTACCTTGGTTGGAAGCCATATATGTCTCTGCCCACCTTAGCATGGCCACCAGCCCAGGATTCAGACCCCACTCTCTTCAGTCCCTACACACTAGCCTGTCATCCTATAGATGGGCCCCTGGCTGTCTGCAGAAAGTGCCCATAAGCTCTGCAGCTGACTGAAAACTTTCATTTTTTCCCAGAGTTGACAAGAACCTTCTGTATTATTTGTGACTGTATTCATAGTATATGTTGTCTGGTATCCTGTGAGGCCTCAGTAAACTCTGGCTCCAAATGACCCTACTCACTTACAGAGTGGGAAGGGAGCCCATTATTACCCTGGTGGCAGATGGGAACCTATCTGCCCACCATCTGAGGGAGAAAATATGGCAAGCTCACTTAGTTAATTGATGGCACCATTCTGTCTTGCATCCTTGCCCAGAGACAGGGACATTGCAAATCACTTTGGAAGGTGATGATGGGGTTGGGTGGCTGAAGAATTGGAGAAGGTACAGGGGTTGGATTCGTGGCTGTAGGTTCCATAGCAGAAGATACAGTGTTAGAGTTGGAAAGGATCTCATGATTGTCAGATTCTTATCAGTCGTTTTACAGATAGACAAACTGAGATATACTGAGATTGCGTGACTTTCTCAGAGTTCACCAAAGAGCTGAAACCTAGGTAGTGCTTTTTCCATGTTGCAGAGAGCTGTTTTTTGACTGTAAGCCAAGTAGGATAGAGTAGCAAGTATCAAAGTATGGCCATTGTCTTAACAAGCATTGATTAAACGGTCTTGCCAGAAATCAACGAGACACTGGATCCAATGGAACACAGCAATTTCCACAAGATGGTTATATACAGATTCATACAGTGACTTGAGATGCTGCAAAGTAATTAAAACGTAATCAGAGACTGTATGCTCTGTTGATTCTCTCTTGAAATGTCTGATTTGCATTGTATACATATGGGCACAGATTCTCTGGGGATGAAGGAACACGGGAAGGTAGCTTTGCTTTCTTCCAGAAAGAGCAGAAAAATCATCAGCCTGCAGAAGCAGTTTCTGATTGATAAATCCCTAGCAAAGGTGAAAATGAATTAATCCAAGTAAAATATGAAATCCTGTTCAACCAAGGCTATCATATGCGTCTTTTAGAGTCCAGATTTTTCATAGGAAATAAAAGTAAATGGTTGAGTATGTGCAATTTATGCATTATTTAAAACACAAGACCTTGACAGAGGAGTCCAAGCTTCAGCAATGCACTTCTATCCCCGTGAATCTTAGGTCAGTTGTTTATAAAATAGGCCTATTTATTCATCTCTTTAGTGTCCTGCCCTTTCTTTATTTCTTAGGGGGACCCTGGCCTGCCGGGACTTGATGGAAGTGCTGTAAGTTGTTATTTATGTTGTGGAGCTCTCAATGGTTAGTCAGCAGTCACTGATGGAGCCTTTTCATTCTCTCCATGGTGTTGAAGAGGAGCCCTTGTAGTGCAGTGGTTAAGCACGTGGCTGTAAACTGAGAGGCCAGTGGTTTGAACCCCCAGCCACTCCATGGGAGAAAGATGTGGCAGTTTGCTTCCATAAAGATGGACAGCCTTAGGAAGCCTTATGGGGGCAGTTCGACTCTGTCCTTCAGGGTCTCTATGAGTCTGAATCTACTTGCTGGCAATGGGTTTTGGTCCATGGTGTTCAAAAGTCTTTCTAGACCTTCTAAAGGAAAATCTAGAGATTTGAGGTAGATGAGTCCTGCTATTGACATTTTCCAGATGAGAAAGAACTGAGAGGATGGACTGTCCATCTCAAGTCACATGATAGACAGGCTTTCAGACCTTTTAGTCAAGGGACTAAATGTATTCCCTAGGATGTATTAGGAAAGAATTTTGCCTTTCATTCAGGAAGAATTTATCAAGTTTTCTGTGAATTCAGAGTGCTGTGGGTAAAACAAAAGAAGTAGAGTGTGTTTCTTTAAAAAGTATTCCATTCAGAAATTCATTTTAGGGACTTTTTTGATAATTGTCCATGAAAGGCTGAGAGTTGTATTAATGAAAGCTCTTTTTTCCCCCTTTGAGATTCTACATTGTCATCATTTTCCTTTGAAGTAGCTTAAGAAAAACCCCATCTACCTGCCTGCCTTCCTTTATCCTACCTTCCATCCATCTGTCCCTCCCTCCTTTTCTCCCTCCCTTCCTTCCTCCATTTCTTAACAGGTATTGAGCCTATTATCAGCAAAATGTCACGAGTGATCCCTGAAACAATGTAGACATGGTCTCTGCCTCCAAGGATGTGAAAAATTACTAAGAATGTGGCATAAGAATTCCATAGCAGCTTAGGGAAAGAGATACTGTCCACCTAAGGATAGATTATGGGAGACTATATTGAAGATAGAAAAGGTAGCTTCTGAGAAGTGTGGATGGTGTTTAGACTGGCTGGAAGTGAGAGGAGGCTTTTTAAATAGAGAAAGTAGTGTGAAAAAAAAAGGTAGGCATAAATAGGATGTGTACAAGCACACACAAAAACAGAGATGAGTAAGTGCCAAGCCCATACAGATTCCCTAGAGCTAAACAAAATTGGCTTAGAGGGTGTGTTCATTAGATTTGTGGAATAACATTTAGTATAAATGCTGTGTAGTTTGTCGTAGGGATTCATTCCCCTGCCCACAAAGGTATAGTGTTCATCTACATATACAGGCATGATACACAAACCACTTAGATTTGGGGAGAGTGTATTTGGTGAATAAGAAATTTGTGATCAGTAAGGAGACCAAAGGTTATTAGTTGTTTTCTGAAGCAATGTTCATCTGATCATACATTCCTGGGGAACCTTTGAACCCTTACTTCCTGCACCTTGCTGAATCTGGACCTCTCTTAGCTCCTCCACCCCTTACCCAGGTACATATCATCTTGTTGTTGTTGTTGTTGTTGTTATGTGCCGTCGAGTCGGCCCCGACTCATAGCAACCCCTCCTTAGGTTTCCGAGGCAGTATCACTACGGAAGTAGGATTGCCCAACCTTCCTTCCGAGGAGTGGCTGGTGGGTTTGAACCGCCAGCCGTCTGGTTAGCAGGCAAGTGTCTTAGCCACTATGCTACCAGAGCTCCTCCCCTATTTCATCTAGGCCATACATCTCTCCATATCATCTTCCTCTTCAGATTTCACCATCTTGCTTTTATTATTATTGTTGTTATCATTCAGTTAAAATGATTTTCTGATTTCCTTTTTGACACATGGAATATTTAGAAGTATACTGATTAAGTTCCAAAAACTTGGCAGATTTACAGCTATCGTCCTGTTAATTGATTTCTAGTTTGATTTCATGTGATCTGACTCATAGCAACCCCTTCTTAGGTTTCCAAGGCAGTATCACTATGGAAGTAGATTGCTCAACCTTCCTTCCAAGGAGTGGCTGGCTGGTTTGAACCTCCAGCCTTCTGTTTAGCAGTCAAATGCCTTAGGCATTATGCTACCAGAGCTCCCGTTTTGATTTCATTGTGGTTGGAGTACACACTCTATATGATTTCAGTTCTTTGAAATTTTTGAAGATTGTTTCAGGGCCCACCATATGGTCTATCTTGTCGAATGTTCCATGTGCACTTGAAGAGAACGTGTGTTCTGCTGTTGTTGGGTATGTTGATATAAAATATGCCTATTAGGCCAAAGTGTCTGATAATGTTTTTGGATAATCTATGCCCTTACTGATTTTTTGTCTACTTCTTCTATTAGTTACTGAAGGAAGAACATTAAAATCTCTAACTATAATTGTGGATTTCTCTATTGCTCCTTGCAATTCTGTAAATTTTTACTTCATGTGTTTTAAAGCTATATCATTAGGTGCATACACAATTAAGATAGCTATGTCTTCTTGATGAACTGACCTATTGTATCATTATGAAATACCCCTCTTTATCTCTGGTAATATTCTGTCTTGAGTCTACTTTATCTGATATTAATATAACTATTTTGCTTTCTAAGTTTTTATCTTTCCAACAATTTATATAGGAATTTCAAATGTAAAGTTGAGTGAATTTTTCAGTGAACACCCATACCATTAATAGACTATATTTGCTCTATCCCATTTCCACCCCTCTATCCATCCATCAATCCATCTTATTTTTTTATGCATCTCACAGTAAATTTAGACAACAGTCCCCTTTCCCTAAATAGCACAGTATGCCTATCAATATTTGTTTACTGTTTTCCTTTTTATATGGGAGAGTATATTGAAGATAGGGGAACTCTGGTGATGTAGTGCCTAAGGCATTTGACTGCTAACCAGAGGGCTGGTGGTTCAAACCTATCAGCCACTCCTTTGAAGGAAGATTAAGCAATCTACTTCCATAGTGATACCGCCTCAGAAACCCAAGGAGGGGTTGCTATGAGTCATATCTGACTTGATGGCAGTGAATATATTGAAGATAGAGAAGGTAGCTTCTGAGAAGTGTGGACGGTGTTTAGATTGGCTGGAAGTGGGAAGAGGCTTTGTAAATAGAGAAAGTAGTCGACGGCACATAACAACAACAACAACAGTGTATAAAGGTAGGCATAAATAGGATTATACAAACACACACAAAAACAGAAATGAGTAATATACAATGAAATGTACAGATCTTAAACGTGCATTAGCTGAGTTTTGACAAATGCATACTCTTGTGTAACCCAAACCCCTATTAAGGTATAGAACTTTCCCTCCATCATAGAAAGTTTCTTCCTGCACCTTCTCTGCCACCACTTCACCCCAAAAGCAACCACTGTCCTGATTTCTTTTCCACCAAAAAGCAGTTTTGCCTGTTCTAGAGCTTTATATAAAGGGAATAGGACAATCCTAGCCTTTCGGGTCTGACTTCTTTCATTTAGCATAGTATTTTTGAGGTTCAGCCACACTGTAATGTATCAGCAGTTGTTTCTTTTTATTGTTGAGTAGTTATTCTACTATATGGCTGTATCACGTTGTATGTATTCATCCTTATATCAACAGACACTTGGGGCATTTTCAGTTTTTCACTAGCCGAATAAAGTTGCTATGAACATTCTTCTTCTGCACATCTTGTGGACATAGGTGTTTACAATTCCCTTGGGTCTTGCTGTTTGAACTCAGTAAAAACTTGCTTTTCTAGGGTCCAAAAGGAACACCTGGATCTCCAGGAGCTGTAGGACCCCCAGGATCCCCAGGCTTTCAAGTAAGACTTGCTTAAGTCTAATATGTGTTCATTGTATTCACATGATTGCTTTCCTCACCACGGAGTACATGTAAACCTATATAAATGTAGACCCACCTAGTGGAGAAGGGAAGCCTCCATTTCTTGGAGGATCAAAGTAAAACTTGCTCTTGTTGGAAGCTATTTGTTGTCTTTATCAGAATCTCTCTGACCATCCAGTCTATACCTCCAAAGCCTCCCAGTTTAGCACAGCCTAAAATATAGCCTAAGGATGCCAGATACCACCTTCAACTCCTTCACCCACAACAAGCATTGCTAACTAATCATACCACTACCACCTATTCTGAACCCAGAAAAAGCTTCAAAATCCTTCTCAACACTGTGCTTGGACAGTTCCTACCAACCTCCCTTTCTGAGACCAAGCCTATGTGCCATCACTGGTGTAGAAAGAGCATAGTCACTCACCTGTGTGGTTCTGGTTTTCCTCTCTCCGGTGTGTGAAATTCCACCTCTTGTTACTTTGGTTTGTTGTTGTTGTTGTTGTTATGTGCCGTCGAGTCAGCCCCGACTCATAGCGACCCCTCCTTGGGTTTCCGAGGCAGTATCACTACGGAAGTAGGATTGCCCAACCTTCCTTCCGAGGAGTGGCTGGTGGGTTTGAACCGCCAGCCTTCTGGTTAGCAGTCAAGTGCTTTAGCCACTATGCTACCAAATATCATCATATTAACATTTCTGGCCACTTGGGAGGAATGACACATGAGAGTTCTACTACCTTACCATGAATCGAGTTATCATGTCAGTTTGGGAGATTTTAAAGGATAGAAAAAGGAACCATAAGAAGAGGAACTAGAATCTGCTGTACCAAAGCTGGGCTACCTCAAGTGGTGGGGAGGTCTACCAACATGGACATGTTCTTTTTGCCTGAAACTAACAAGTACTAACTCTTCTTTCTTTTTAAATCTAGGGTCCTCCAGGTTCCCCTGGTTTCCCTGGTCCTGAAGTAAGTATGCTTTATTTCAGGGCATTTTGCCTCTTTCCCCTAAGTGTTATGGGCTCCCCCTAAAGAGATACTGGTTTGGTTAAACCTTCTTTATGGTACAAAAACAAAAACATCCTTCATTTCAGCGACTAAAGTTCCTGCAGCTTGTCTAGTAATTGATTTTGTTTTTCCTCCCTGCATCCCTATGCCCCAGGGAAATATGGGGTTAGGTTTCCAAGGAGAAAAAGGAGTCAAGGTAAATAGATTTTGGGAAATACAGTCTGCATTCCATGTGCTCTCAAAAAAATGTCTCTGGTTACATGCATGTGCTTGCTTTTATAAGGGGATTTAGATCTTTGCTTTGGGAAATGAGCATTTCCCAGCCCACATGGGTCCTCTTGTAGGATCCCTTGAGGGCTGCTTGTGCACATGCTACACATCGGCTACTGTTCTTTTTCATTCAAAACCTTATAGTCTCCCTGCTTCCCACCTGTGAAGTGTGTGTATCTTACAAACATATTCTCTAAAAATATCTTTGTTCTCTTCCTTCCACCTGGATATTTGTTGGGTGTTTTTTTTTATGTTGTGTCATCTTCTCTTTCCTTTTCTCTGTTTTTTTTCCTTCCATCCATTCCTTCTCCTCCTCCTTTTCTACTTCTTCCTCATTCTTATCTCTCATCCCTCTTCCTTCACCTCTCTTTCATCATTCATTTTTGTTTCCCTCTGTACAAAATGTATGGTGATTTGGGGCAGCCTCAAAGGAGGCTGGGAGCTTGTCCTCCCCACCTTTCATTGCTGTCTTTTGTGGATGGCACTGTTCTCTGAAGGAGCACATCTAGCCTCCAGTGTTCTAACGTAGACTTTACTGCCTCTGCATATTCTTATGGCAGGGATTGGACTTATTAGAGTCTGATCTCTATTGCCAAAAGGTGTCTATTCACTTTTCTCACCCCCCCTTTTTTTACTCTCTTCTAAACATCCTTTCATGCATGACTATGGCAACCATGAATCTGTGGTTTCCTTTCATCTATCTTGCTTCCTGCTTCTGCACTGGCAATACAAAGTGCATTTGGTCAGGCTTAAAGTTGTTCTCACCCCTTGCCAATGATAGCTGTGTTTCCTTGATGTAAAGATGAGTGTGAAGAGGTCAAAGTGATGGACAGTTTACTTATCAATTACATTCAGAGGATAAGCACACCGTCTGGAGAAATGGTCTGTGAGGCTTATGCTTTGCACTTTGCTCAATACTTCCTTTTGCCTTACAGGGTGATGTGGGCCCCCCTGGACCCGCAGGACCACCACCATCTACAGGGGAACTAGAGTTTATGGGATATCCGAAAGGGAAAAAAGGATCTAAGGTAGGTAAACACTTAAGAATAGGAAATATTAGTAAGCCTTATCGTAGTAATACTCAATTCAAATAATGAGACCACATTGGAAGAAAAAAGAGTTGTGAATAATAATGGACTTTTATTTGGAAATAAAATAAGTGACATTAAAAGCCACTTATTTTTTTTAAAAAAAAAAGCCTTGTACATTTTATCGCTCATGAAAAGCTTGCTAAAACGCCTTGAGTATGTTTCCTGGCATGTGGGCATGATTGTGAGTACTTGGGTTTCTGATAATTAATTTAAATGTTGCTTTCTATGTTTTCATTTTATAGATTCAATTTTCGAGATGCTGAATAACTTTAAAAAATTAGTTGTTCTTGTCCTCCTAATTCCCAATCCTTTTCTTATGTGTGGTGCCCTCAAAGAACTGTGACACAACATATAGGGTATAAATGGTTGCTTTTGAATTGGCTTCTTAAAGAAGTTATTTGTTCTCAAAACTTAACCTTGCAAATCAAGTATACTGTCACCAAGTGTCAGTAGATGCCCTAATTCACCAGATCAGAATTACCAAGGTTTAAGCTATAGACCTATTTAACTGAGATATTTGATAATCTGTATTTTTATGTAAGTAAATGTATATTATATGCATGGTTGTGAGAAAGGTTGCCCTCCATTACCTTCTTTCCTGGTATCCCTTAAATTCTGTGTTTCTGTTCTTATGTCCAAGGAAGCCATGCAGGGGAATGTGTTTACCCCCATTCCTTTACTTTTGTCTTTGGAAGGAACAGCTCCAGGCCCCCTCCAGGTTTACAGGAAGTAATAATTGGTTTAGGAACAGTCTGGGAGCTCTTCCATTGCATGTGTAGATAAAATACCATATCACAGAAAAACAAATTAGAATGTTGTGTATCCCTATCCAAATTGTAATTGTTATTCTTTTTGCAAAACCATTGATTTCTTTACAACCTGTAATTTGCTATGGGAAATCTCACTCAATAGCTTCTTCCACTAAAAATGAAACAAATAATGATCTTTTTTTCCTGTTTCTCAATTTGCCCTGGCATTTCAGATTCTGTTTTAGAAAGTTTTCTTTCCCTGCATGGGCCTTTATACTTCCTGTATCATAATGCCCCCCCCAAAAAAAAAGTTGCTATTGAGTCAATTCCAACTCATAGAGATGCTATAGGACAGAGTAGAACTGCCCCATATGGTTTCCAAGGCTGTAATTTTTAAAGAAGCAGATTCCCACATCTTTCTCCCACAGAGCAGCTGTGGGTTCAAACTGCCAACCTTAGTGGTTAAAGCACTCACTGCACCATCAGGGCTCCCCTACATCACAATGGACTCTCTAAGCTAAGACATCCTGGTACAGTTACTAATCAAAGAGCCTGGTGAATCTACACCACTCCAGTCCTGACTCCCCACTGTTCCCCACTCCCTAGCCCAAGTAGCTTGAGGGAGCCGTCCCACTTCCTGTTCACTGCTTCCTGCTGCTACTCACTGATTTTTGTTTGACTTTTCCAGGGTGAACTAGGGCCTAAGGGTTTCCCGGGCATAGGTGGTCCCTCAGGCATCCCGGTAAGTATCCCTATTTGGTCAATATATGTTCAAGAGTCCAACTGGACAAACACTTTGACAAACAACAATGACAAAAAAGAATACACCTCTTCCTATGGTCACTGTAGATAATTCCACCACCTTCATTATTAGAAGGCATTTAAAGAAATATTTCTCAAACCCATGAGATTATTAGCTTGGTTCCACGGGGCTATATATCTTAGAAATATTAGCCCAGGCTCTAGACTTAAAACAGATCTAGACTTTGACTTCTGGTTTCACCAATTTCTAGCTTTGTGACTTTGAACAAATTTATTAACTTTCTTGAGCTTCAGTTTCTTCAATTATTAAAAGAGAGAAAAAGATAATAATGGAGTGGTTATGATTAAATGAGATAATATGCATGAAAAGGCCTTAGTATATGCTAGCACTTACCATTCAGTAAATGGTATCCAATCTTTGTATACCTACTCCTCACTTATCAACTATCTCATTATCCAATGTTTCACATTTACAACAATAGTAAAAAATTTAGTATCTGACTATTGTGTGCATTAACGATGTACATCTTTCAGTAACGAACGCCAGGGTGTAAGGCAAGAGTAACACTGGCTGTGATTATTAAGATTATATGTCAACTTAACTAGGCCATGATCTTAATGGTTTGGTAGTTATATAATGTGGTGATCTGATAGTTATGTAATGATATAGTAATCCTCCATTTTGTGATCTGATGTGGTCATCCTCCATTTTTGCATAATGCCAATTTTTGCATAACGACTTAGTCTTTGGAACCTAACCATGTCAATAAGTGAGGAGTAGGTGTAATCCTGTCTTCACTTTCATATCTAGCTTTGTATCTTAGATTCTTTCATTCAGCAGATAGCTTGTCAAGGCTCCTATATGCAGATAGGGTTGCCATGAGTTAGGATCAACTGGAGGGCAACTAACAACAACAACAACATATGTTAGGCATTCTGCTGAATGCTCAAGCTATGACAGTAAATAAGTCAAAGTTCTTGTCCTCAAGGAGCTTTTATTCTAATGTGGGTAGAAGGGTATTGACGGACAAGAAAGAAGTAAACAAATGAGTTAATAATGATTTCATGTAATGGTAAATGATATGTTGTTATTTGTTGTTGTTGAGTCTGTTCCAACTCCTGGTGATCCCATGTATGCAGTGTAGAACTACACTCCACAGCATTTTCAAGGCCTTTCATAAGCACATTTCCAGGCCTGTCTTCCAAGGTACCTCTGGGTGGGTTCAAACCAACAACCTTTTGGCTTATAGTTGAGTGCTTAACCATTTGTGCCACCCCAGAGACTCCAAATGATATACAGAAGATGGAAAAAATGGCAAAGTGAGGGAGTGTAGATGGGGAGTAGGGTAGACTACTTTGGACAGAGTGGTCTAAAGGGTCTTTCTGAGAAGGAGATATATAAACAGAGACATGAGTATTATAAGGGAGCCCATCATGTGGAGATCGAGAAGAGTGTTTCAGGCAGAAGGAACTGTAACTGCTAAGATCCTGAGGATGGAAAAAGCTCAGCATTTTGGAAGAAGAAAAAGAAGGTAAGTGTGGGTTGAGCAGAGTGAGCAAAGACAAGACCCAGACAGAGAGACCGGGGCCTGATCATGGTGACCTCTGCAGGTCAAATATGTTTTTTATTCTAAATGTGATAGGAAGGCATTCAAATGCTCTGACTTGTATTTTTAAAATGATCACTCTGGCTGTGGAGATGAGGATGGATGGGGTGGTGGTGATGGCTTGGGCTAGGATGGCAGCAGTAGAATGGAGAGCAGTGGATGCATTCCAAATGTAAGGTTTTTAAACTCTTTATTATGGAACATTTCAAATGTAGACAAAAGTGAGGAGGATAGCATAATGATTCCTCTGTGTGCCCATCACCCAGCTTCAACAATGATCAACTCAAGGCCAGTCTGAAGCAAATAACAAACATCATCTCATCAAAAACACAGCAGTATTTTTACAAGATAAGGACTTTATAAAACATAGTGATAATATCATCTCAGTAACTAATTATCAACAATTACTTAATATGAGTTAATAAATCAGTATTTAAACTTAGCTGATTGTCTCATAAATATGTTTTTGTAGTTGGTTGGTTTGGATCAGAATCCAAACAAGGCCCATACATTGAATTTGACTGATAGGTTTCTTAAATCACAATATGTGTTTTGAAGGAAGAGTTGACAAGATTTTCATGGATTGAGTATAGGGGTCGAGTGGGAACTAGGCCTGCTCCTGCTTGCTGGCACCATGGGGATAGATGACTCCAGTGCTTCTCTACAGTTCTTTGAAACACTTAGACTTGACCAGGTGGCCGAAAGACCCAGCCAGTGGGGTCAGTGGTGTCAGTGGCTTAGGTTGTTCCATGGTGATCCCTATTATTCCATAGAAAGAGGCATAGAGACTCATCTGTTTAATGTCCTCAATTTTAATTAGCTATGTATCCAATGGATCAGGAAAAAAGAGAACCATGGTGTTGGAGACAAGAGACCTGGACTTTAGGCCCAGCTCTAGCTCTAGAACATTGGGCAAGTTGCTGGATATCTGCATATCTGTAATATGGTACTAGTCATAGCTACTGTTTGGAGACCCAACTGTCAATGAATGCGAAAACTGCCTCCTACAGTCCAATTTGTTCTTGTGGGGGTGGTACTGTTTTCATCTCTTTACAAAGTCTAAAGCTGTGCTGTCCAGAATGATAACCACCTAGCACATGTGGTTACCAGGTCCTAGAAATGTTACTCATCTGAATGAAGACAAGTTGTAAGTGTCAAATGCATGCTGGATTTCTAAAACTTAACATAAAAAAGAATGTAAAGTACCTCATGAACAATTGTTACCTGATTCTGTGTTGAAATGATAATATGATATATTGGGTTAAATAAAATATATGATTAAAATTAATCACACCTATTTATTTTTATCTTTTTTAATGTGGCTACTAGAAAATTTAGAATAACATAGTAGCTCATATTATGTTGCTGTTGGACAGCACTGATATACTTTGCAAATTGGATTGGGAATAAGGTTGGCACCCTTCTTTGCAGAGCACTTTTACATAGATTCTGGTTACCACACATCATCCCTGAGAGTTACGTAAGATAGGCCTGGTTACCCCTTTTGCACTGATGAGGAAACCACAGCTTAAATGGATGGAGAGGCTGCTGAGAGCCACACAGCTAGTTATAAGCAGAGCTGAGACTGCAATTGAGCTTTCTTGAGTGCTAGCCAAGTCAGGGCTTTTTCCCTATACCATACTGCCCCCTACAGAGCGGTTCATTCTTGTCATGGTGACAGTGATGGTTTCATCTCTAAAATGTCTAAGAAAAGACTTTATGATCTGTGGTGTTATTGCACTCATTGGCTCATACTCCCCACCTAACTCTGCTTCCTTTCCATTTTCTTCCTCGGAGGATTTCTGTTGCTGCAATTTCAGCCCGTTCCCTTTTGTCCTATAAAAGAGAGAGAGACTGACTGACAACAATACATAGTGATAAATTGCAATACGGTTTCAAGTGCAGCATTTCTAGTGTTTCATAGTGTGGGCTGAAAAACAGAAAACCCAGTTGATTGTAAAGACATCAAAGCTGGAAAATATCTCCCTTTATATAAGAATAGACTATTTTGATAGGGTTGGAATCAAGAAAACAGAGTTCTCAGCCCACTTTGTCATAGATTCAGTGTGTGGCCATGGCCAAATCATTAACTCTTTCAGTCCTAATATCTCTGTTTAATGGGTGCATTCATAGGCACCTTCTGTGCCCTCTGACAGCAAAGTTGTGAGAAGAAAGCTTGTAATGTATTTGAGGTACTCTAAGCTTTTCAGAGAAAACATTTCTCAAATTCAAAGCCCAGAGTACCTCAAATACATTACCATATTTCTTCTCACAATTTTCCTGTCAGAGAGCACATAAGGTGCCCAAATCTTGGCAGGAGTTGCCAACAAGTAGCCAACCAGACAGATATGCCTCCCCTTCTTTCTCTTGCCCCCTCTACAATGATCAAACATCTCTGATTATCTGATTCAGACCAATTTCACATGTTTCATCCCATTAGCATACTTACACTTGTAGGTCCCAGATCCTCACATGGAGATGGTAAGAGAGAGTCATGTATCTGTGTGCCTCTGTTAAAGGGACCAGCAAACACAGGGTAAGGCAAAATGGAAGAGATGAGGGGAAGTAGGAGAGAAGAAACTGGGTAGATCTGATGTAACAACCGGGTAGGTGGGATTTTCCTTCAATTGAACCTCCCCAGAACCAGATAATACCAGAAACCCAAAGTCCAGAAGAGCAGGACTGGGAAATAGCTAAGCTAGCATGTGGGCTTTCCTGGCTATAGATGAGAAGGGATGCCCATGGCAAGGACTGACCATGACAGGACTGGATCTAGGGAATCTTGTTAGAACAGCTTGTTGAGCAGGTCCCTATACAGTGCCTCTCTGCACTGGAAGACAAGCTGAGCCTACAGCGCAGTGTCTTGCCAAGTCATCCAGGGGTTTTTGGCTTTGACACATACTGCTCTTTACCCCTAACCCCCCCTCACATACACACACAACTTCTTTTTCCTTTTTTAAAATTTAGTTAGTTAGTTAGTTAGTTTTGTTCACACAAAACAAGCTCTCAGGCACTCTCTCTATGAAAGCAAGGAGTCTGGAGATTCTTTCTACTTTCTGAAGAAGGAGTACAAAGCCCCCTTGTATTTACAACATAGCTGGGGGTGGGGCATGACACAGTTTCGGGACATACACTCCCTCACTATTTGAAACAGTTTTGTTCTCTGCGTCTTAGTCTAATCAATTCAACAAGTGTTTACTGGACCTCTTTGGATGTGTTCAGCCTGCAGGGAGACTGAAGGGGATGTGATGTAGACCTTCTGCTTAGAAACTTCCATATACAACCGGTCATACTTGAAGGGTTTGGAGAAAGGAGAGGTCACATGATCTGCTGTAGTTTAATGGATAGGTTAAGGAAGGCCACTTAAAAGTATTTGATTTCAGAAGCCAATAGGCACATGCCACCAGGTGGCAGTATGCCTTGGTTTCCAATTTAAGATGCAAAAACAGAAATTTAAGTAAGTTTGCATTCATTTTAGCCCACAGGCCTTTCAAATAGAAATCCTATTTAGTATGAGGTCTGCGCTATTTGCTGCTCAACAAGTATAGATGGAGAAAAGAGAAAAGTCCGGAAGGAACCACAGCCTGCTTTGAATTGGACCCTTTGCATGTGCACACACACACACACACACACACTCTCTCTCTCTCTCTCTCTCTGCCCCCTCTCAATAAAAAGACAACAATAAACCTGCATTAAAACAAACAAATAAACAGCCTTGGGCCTAGAAAACTAGGGGCCATTCTTAGCTTTCAGGACTCATGGGAAGAGACTGAGTATGTAAGAAAAAAAAACTACAAATGGGACTGAACCAGTGCCCTCATACCAGCTGAGCCAGGTCACAAGAGGACAATGGGAGCTGTGCCACAGCCACATTGAGAATCTTTCACAAGCTTCTATTTGAGAAAGCTTCACTGCTCCTTTTCCTCTCATAATAGTTCTAAGTGTCATTTGCCAAAATCCTTGCACCAGAAAGTAGAGTTTTAAATAACACCAACAAAATGGCCTGAGTTGTTTGCCATGAAAAACTTTATCCACTATGGTAATGAAATTCTCTGTATTATGGGTGACCGGAATACACCTGCTTCATGGATTCCTTCCATGTCTCGAGAGAATCTTTAAGTCTTATCCATGGCTGTAATCACTCCCCTCTTGTGAACATGGCATGAGGGATTGGAAACCATCTCACAGTCCTCTTTGGAGTGCTCCTAGGGCCATCTAAGTTCTTTTATGTCAGTAAAGAAGCTACGAGGCTCCAGGCCAAGGCCTAGATAGAAAGATTCCTTTCCACTGAAGAGGATGTTGCAGTCACTATGCCTCCAAAGGAAAAAAGATCTTCCCTCCAGTGTCAATCCCCAAAGGTTTTTACACAGTCCTCTACTTGGGAGTCAAAGAATTAAGTTCCTCCAATGTGCAAGGTAGTTTGTTCACATGGAAAGGACTCTGAATGGAAATCAGAAGACCTGGCATTCTCATTGACTCTGTAACCTGTAACTGGTTGTTGTGGAGTCCATTCTGACTCATGGCAACCTCGTGTGTGTCACAGTAGAACTGTGCTCCATAATATTTTCAGTGGCTTGATTTTGTTAAAGTAGATCACCAGGCCTTTCTTCTGAAACACCTCTGGGTAGACTCAAACCTCCAGTGTTTTGATTAGCAAGCACGTTAACTGCTTGCACTACCCAGGGACTCCTCTGTAACCTATGCAAGATGCTTAACCCTTCTGAGTGTTAGATTCCCCGTCTACAACAAGAACGTTAGATATGTAATAATTCCTATGCCTTTAGTACGTGATGGGGCAAATACATGTAATAGTGTTTTGGGAGGAAGACATCTCTTCTAGAACTAAAGGGGAATCTTGAATGAATGGTCTAAGTTACATTCAGGCCCTATGTGCTTCTCATACAGTGACAGGATCCTCAGCAAAGCGAGCCTCCCCAGTGGCTCAGTGGAGCTGGTTTATTGCCTTTTGAAATTACCCCCTTGTTGCTGATGGAGCCAAGAGACCTATGAGGAAATGAATGTTATAACTTATGTTGTCTTTTTTTCCTTTAGGGATTTGGAACTACCAGTGAAAAGGGGGAAAAGGGAATCCCTGGTTTGCCAGGATCTAGGGTATGAACCTAGAATGTTGCTTGCCTAGTTCTGTCAAGTCACCTTGTCCCTCTTCTTCCCTGTTTGCTTCTTTCTCTTATATAACTTGATGGCAATCTAAGCTTCTCTTGTTTCTCAACCTTCTGGCAGGTCCCTAAAACCTCCCCCTTGCCACTTAGCTTCATTTCCTTGGCTAAATGACTCCCTTGAATAAGAAATTATGCATCTGTACCCTAGATACCTCCTCAGCCTATTTACGCTCCTTGCCTTCTTCTGGGCTTAAGAATGACATTAGTGTTGTCTTGCTTCGATTCCATTCTGCCCTAAGAGAATGCAGGGAGTGAGGAGAGCTGTTGCAGGAATGGAAGAAAGAGGGCTAAGTGCAGTCTTTATAGGATAGAAACAAGCCTGGGAAGTTCTAGAACACAGTGAGTAGTGTTTGGAGTCAACAGTTTTCAATAATAATCTCACTTCAAACAGAGAGATATCTATTAGCCTCTTTGATTCCTAGATTCAGGCACTTTGGTCTTGTGCTATAAGCAATTGGCCAATCTTAGCCTTAAATAAGTAACATTTTGGAGAATTGTGTTTTTGGCTTAGTCATGAAGCTTGTTAAGCATCTAGTATTTAGCTGTATTTACTAATTAGCCTATCATTTCTTTCTCTAATTTTCCCTTGTCTTGAAAATATATAATCACCAACAAAGAATGCATTAGAGGTGGGCAAAAAGGGGCCCTCCCATAATCTATTTAAAAATCTTATGACTTGGAACTAATATAGACTAAATAGAATACTACTCGGCATTTCTACCAGATTCCACCTAGTTCTTAAAATGTTTCCATTTATTTAGCTCTTAAAAATTCTCCATGTGGTTATTCAGACTGATGGATTAATGCTTAGAAAGAAGTCATTAAGCCAGGTCTAGGAACATTTTCTCACCTGATTTAAAAAAAAAAAAAAAAAAAAACCACCACCAGTGGAGTTGATTCCAATTCACAGTTACCTGATTTTGTTGTTGTTGTTATGTGCCGTCGAGTCGAACCCAATTCATAGCGACCCCTCCTTGGGTTTTTGAGGCAGTATCACTACGGAAGTAGATTGCCCCATCTTCCTTCCGAGGAGTGGCTGGTGGGTTTGAACCGCCAGCCTTCTGGTTAGCAGTCAAGTGCCTTAGGCACTGTGCTACCAGAGATTTTAGGAGCTGCTAAATTCTCAATACAGTTGGGTAACTTTGTTATGTAAGTCTAGTAGTTTTTTCTAGTGTGGGCTATTTATCTTTCTTAGGTATGTCTATTCTCTTTACAGGGTCCCATGGGTTCAGAAGGAGTCCAAGGCCCTCCAGGAAGACGGGTATTTTGGTTAAGATCGTTAAAGGCTTGGTGTACAAAACCCTAATTGACCCTAATCAAGAGATCCTCTGGCTTTACTTAACATAGCCATAAATCCAAAGGGAGACATAGCTTATAATGCAAATTGTCTAACTCCCTTTGATGGATATAATCCTCGTCACTCTCTTCTTTTGTTTTCATCCAAGAAAATTGATAGCCAGTGTTGAATCTGGTCCCATGGCGTGTCATGATGTGGTCATACTACTTTAATATGTTATCAAGGCCTAGCAAGGCCAGCCTGCATGTATCCATCTCTAGCCTTGCGGCACTTGTTCCTCCTACATGCAGGTTGGCTGCTTCCTTCTGGAAGACTTTACAGCTTCTAGAGTCAGGTAGAAGCCAGACTCTGGAATGGTAGGCAAGATACCCTGTGCTGTTTGCCCTGACCTAATCCAAAGACCAGCTCCCTCCTATGATCTTAGACATTCAACTTAGTGGTAACTGTGTTTTTGTCACAGGGCAAGAAGGGGTCCTCAGGTTTCCCTGGGATTAATGGACTCCCAGGAATTAAGGTAATGTTACTGGGAAGTAAAAATCCAGGGTTGGGGAGGTGAAGAATTACCATATGAGATGAAGTATTTTTAATATTTTGAGGTTTTAGATGTTGGTCTTTTCTCAAAAAACGCACATGCAAGCAACTTTGAAAACACAAAACTGATGAGTATTCCATAGATGTTACTTGATCAGTGAAGACCAAGGGCTGAAGGCTGTTGGGAGTGAGTCCATCCCTATGACAAGGAATATTTTATTACTGATATCATTTATAATTGCTGAATTTTTATTGTTTTAAAATTTCTGTAGTATGTGGGGCAGATGGTTCCTACCACTCCATGCTTGATATGCCACTCACTGTATCTGATTTCTGATACCTGAGTCATTCTTTTGGGAGAATTAGGACTGTTGATTTCCTCTGCCTGACATCATCCAATAACAGTAGCAGAGTTCCAGGGCTGCTGAGAGTAAAGAAAAGTTGAAACCCTGCTCCCTCCATGTTAGTACCTCTTGAGTTGGTTGATATTGTCTATGCCTGTGATACATTTTCCAGGTCCAGAAGGAGATTGTCCCTAGTAGCACTGCAAAGTAAAATTGGAATCCCTTGTCCTTGAATGCCAGGCCTCTGGCCTGCTTTATCTTGCCTCCATATTAAATTTATTGGGCTTTGAAATTAACTTATAGCCTAGTTGAGCCTAGAAATCAGGAGTTACAAAAGAAGGAAACTTTCATTTTCCTGAGGATGACTTTGAGGGCACATAAATCTTGAGTGATGAAGTCATGAAAATATTTGCGTTTAATGTATTTCATCTCTGCAGGGTAATAAAGGTGGCATTGGTCTGCCAGGCCCTCAAGTTTTCCTTGATAGAGATGGTGCTATAATCCCAGGTACAACTTTTCATTTATTTGAATGCAGAAGAAAAGGCAAGGAGTTAAAATTTATATTCCCTGTGATTGTTAGAGGATATTTTGTCAGCCCCGGGATTGCTGCTAAACCCAACACTGCCCAGGACCCAAATGCTAAGTCTTCAAGGGAAGATTTATGGGTCCTGAGCTTAGGGAGAAAAGCTAACCCTCATCTCTTGGGAATTTAGGCTAAGCCCAACATACTATTTTGGGGTTGGGTTCACCAACAAGACTAGGGTTTTGGGTCTTCCTTGGCCTCACTCACTCACACACTGCCGTTGAGTCGGATCCGACTCATAGCGACCTCTCCTTGGGTTTCTGAGGTGGTATCACTACAGAAATAGATTGCCCAATCTTCCTTCCAAGGAGTGGCTGGTGGATTTGAACCACCAGCTTTCGGGTTAGCAGTCAAATGTCTCTACGCCACCAGAGCTACTGAATTGCACTGAACTCTGAATAAATGAAAACAAGTCTTTTGGACCTCAAAAGCTTTGTATGAAGATGCTTCTTCTTCCTCTGGCCTCTGCTTTGGCCTAGTTATGGGTAAAATTGTTTCCTAATGATACTTTGGGAAGGACTGATATCCTCTCCTCCACAGATGGGCTGACTTCAGCCTGATGCTGTGGGACACTAAAAGTCTCATGCAGATGATCCTTTGAGGTCTTGAGCTTGACAGTTTCAGGGCAAACTGCTAGGAGGCAAGTGGTTGACACCTCAACAACTCTATGACACTTAGAAAGTTTGTTTTCACCTTTCCTTGTCCTAGTTACTATGTATGCCCAAGTCTTCCTTTGCCTTCCTTAAATATCCAAATGTCCAGTGTCTCCAGCTACTTCTTCCTTGATCAAAATCTCCTGTAACGCCTCTTCCACCTAGGTCTCAGTAACTTATCCCTCTCCTTTCATCCTTTCAGGCCCATGCCCTGTCTTGTAAATCCATCCAAACTGAGTTATTAATGGTTGACAGAGATTTCCCATGTTCCATTCCCAGGAAGCCTACGTGTATAACATGAATAGCTCACTTCCACACCTTAACCCAAATGATGGGCATTTGAGGCATTACAGCAGATTAGTAGTAGAAGAATTCTCCTAGTACTTATTAGATCTTAACCAAGTAAGCCAAGCCCTGGACAGACCCGTTCTGAATACTAGTAGAGCTCTGACTCTGTCCCACCCACTATCATGTGAGGCATCTGTGAGACAAGGGAAAGGCCCTTCTAACTCCAGGGCAACTCTCTGCATCTGCATTTCTTCCTAGGTACTTTATGCCATTTGTGGACCTCCTCTGGATTTTCTTATTGCTTTTTTTCATTGTAATGCTAGGTTATCCTGGAGACCCGGGGGTACCAGGCCTCCCAGGCCTTAAAGGAGATGAAGGCATCCAGGGCCCACCTGGCCCATCTGGCATCCCTGGCCTCCCACCAATCACACCAGGTGAAATAAACTAACTCACCCTCTGCAAATATCATTCCTCTATGCATTCAAGTGTCCAGAATCCCATTCTATACCTCTGGGTCTGGGCACACATATAAGCAAAGTCAAAGGAAAGGTAGACAATAGATTCCCTACTGCCAGCCCCAAGCTAATGTATATGGGAAGGAGACCCAGATGAGTAGCTTTACTTTAGACTAAATAATATACCATAGCTGGTCAGGCAATCTCAGACTGCCATGGAGGCTTTCAACAACCAGAGGAGGCCTGGGTTGGGCTGCTGGAGTCCTGTCCCTCTACAGTGTATGTGCCATTCCCAGTTGATGCTAAAAAAGCCCAGAGGAAAATTTGTACCCAGGCTCTCTATGTTGAACTCAGATACTAAATGGCTCCAGGATCCTGTGGGTGACACTTGAGCTAGTCATCAAAGGGGCATACCCAAATGCAATTCTACAGTAACAAATGGAGAAAGGGCATGCCAGATCAGGGAGGCAGTGGTATGTCCGAGATAAAGCCTCAGATATTACTTTTAAATGCACCAGTTTCTAAACTCCTTGGAGATGAGCATCTTTAAGGATACCTGTGCTCTTAAAGTAGCCACTGGGCAGAGGTATAGCTGGACCTAGCACCAAAATTGAGGAGTAGAAGGCTGGAGTCATAGGTTTTGCAACCAAGTTTGCCACTAAGAAACTCTTTGCCCCTGACCATTTTTCCTCATTTCTTTGAGTCTCAGTTTTCTAAGAGGTTAGGCTAGATGATCCCAAAGAACCTTCTAATGCTAATGCAAAAGAAGGGCTAATACGTTCCCAAATTCTTCTCTGGAGAATAGTTTTCGACATGTGCTACTGATTTGGAACACTTTTGAAGAGTAGGATGCTGTGATGAGCATTATTGTGTGGGTTTATCCATCTAGGTGCCCCAGGACTCCTGGGGTCTCAGGGTGTTTCAGGCCTGAAGGGGAACAAAGGAGAACCAGGTCATACCACAGTTGGGACAACTGGCCTCCCAGGCAAAGTTGGTCTGCCAGGCCTGGCAGGCCTACCAGGACCACCAGGACCACCTGGTAAGTTATTTCTCTCTTTGTTCTTGAGACTTAGGTGTGATCCAGATTGCAAAATAGTTATGTTTTTGACAGAAACTCTCACAGGTGAGACAGCTAATCTAAGACACATGATAACTGCAGAGAAGCAGTGACAATGGCCCCATCCCCAGTCAGAGCCCTCCCTCTACAGATTATTGACTATAGCATTCAGAGTTTGCTTGTTCATCAAGGAACAAACAGGCTAGGGCCATCTTGATGACCAAACACTACCTAATGCTTCTGCCTTTTGTCCCTATTCCCATTCCTTTCTTCAGTGTTCTCAGTCCCTAGACCTCTGGTCCTTTAGCTCCTATACAAGCAGCATTAGTGCTTTCAAGCTTCTTCTGGTTGATAGGACTCCAATGGGGTGGACTAAGAAAGGAAAAGTTATGCCTGGATCCTCAAGGTGGAAAGTGGCTGCTAAGAGCCTGCACAGGGGTTATTCTCCTTAGATCTTCTACCTAAGTATGGCCTTCTAGATTCTGAGAGAAAGACTAGCCATCATAAACTTGGAAACTATTCGGCAACATGTTTCTTTATAACTCAAATCCCATGACCACTTCAGCTTGCACCCATTTCCTCTTTTGTCCTAAGGGAATTTTCCAGGGTAGGTGCTGGGACTGTTGAGTTATTGAAGTTACCTTGTTCATTTCTATATCCTCAGTGTCTGGAACATAATAAGCATTATGTAAGTGTTAATGGAATGAATCAAACCAACAGAGGATCCTACTGGGATCCCTGTTGTGTTTTTTGGTTCATTGGTTTTTGTCTTTGATCTAGCTGTTGGGTCTCAAGGACCCAGGCTTTGGTGATTGACCTGCTGTTCTGAATTATGTGAGTCATCTGGCTCAGGTAAGGTGCCAGTCTTTTTTGTTTCTTCTTCCTGTAGGTCCAGCTTTTGAGACTAGAACCCTAAAGAATGCAAATCCAGGGTTCCCTGGCCTCCGAGGAGAAAGAGGTCCAAAAGGAAACAGAGGCCTCAAAGGATTAAAAGGTGATTTTGTCCCCTTGGGATTCTTTGTCTCCCAAAATCTTCTGAAAAGGCTTTATGAGCAAACCAAAACCTTGGGAACCTGAGCAAAGGGAATCTTGGATTTTGATTGGGAATTTGATGTAGCATTGGGGCAAGTACTGTGTTCAGGGCTCTACGACTAAGGCTGCCTATTGAAGTCACATAGGGAAAGTGGTTTGCAGGCTGCTCTTTCTATCCCCTCCACCTGCAGAAGGCAGTGCTGGCAGCTGAACGTGTTAACCTGAGCAAGGAAAAGCTCTAGCCCCTCCCAGATTACAAGGCTAAGGTTGTAAGTTACTAATCATTACCTTCAGCCTAAAGAAAAGGGCTCTGAACAGGTCAAGACCTGCCCCTCCAAAACAGCCAACTGGCGGCAGGAAAACAATTCCAGTCCCCATTGACGTGGAAGGAGTCATTGATCTGGGTGATAATGATCAATGATCAAGCCCTCAACTGCATTGCTTCTCTCCATCGTCTTAATCCCTTTGGGTCATTCCCCCATTCCTTACTTTGAGGAAAAGATGCTAAAGCTCAGAAAAATCAATTCATTATGGCTGCAGCCCAGGCCAGGGTGGAGGAAGAGGAGGAACTACTGGCTGAAGAGAGGTTTGGGGAAGGCCTGGGGGTTACAGGTATTTGAGATCTTTCCTCTTTCCTCAAGAAATTAACACCTTTTCCTCAACCCCAAACAGAAAAGTCTTACCTTACTCCCCTCCCTTCTCATTATCTTGTCATAAAATTTCACTACTTAAGTTCAGGAGCTGGTTTAGAAGTTTCTGAAAACTCGGTCTCTGCAGTTTGGATCCAAGGATGACTGTTTGAGGAAAAAGAGCATTAAATTGTAGTCTGGACTTTAGTATGTTCATCTTGACTAGTCCCTGATTTGCTACAGAGCTGGTGTATTTCTCAATACCATCTCACTTCTAAAACAGGGGCAGCTCTAAAGCTCTCTTTCTTCATTTCCATTAGGCTAGAAAGTTCCCCCAAAGTCTAGAGTAGTGATTTTCATATTTCATTGTATGTGAGAATTGCCTAGGAAAATTACTAAAAATCAGAGTCTTGGGTCTGGCTTCCTGAAAGTCTGATAAAGACTGGGATGGGACCCAGCCATCTGCCTTGTAAACAAACATCACAGGTGACTGATGCAGGAGGTCCACGGAGCACACTTTGAGAAATGTTAATCCTGAGAACAGGCTGTTCTCTCTCAGAGTTGCAGAGATGATCGATTTCTAAAAATAAGAAGTGGCCTGAGGGAATCCCAGAGGCACCTGTGTGGGCACTGGTTCGCATTACACCTTCCACACCTAAAATCACAGGTGTGGAAGGTGTATGTGGTGGGCCTGTAGTGCTAGCGACTCCTTGACACCTCTTTAAAGGTACTTTCTGAAATCCTCATAAGTTTATTTGGCTATTGTCTCCTGTGTACAAAATTTAGGGGGAAAAGACATTTTGGTTTGGATGCCAGACCTTCAATTGGTTAGTGTAGGTCAGTGGTTCTCAACTCTGGCTGCACATTGGACTCACTGATGGCTGGGCCCCACTCCAGACCAATGAAATCAGAATCGCTGGTATAGACATGCTTGGATGGATAGCGAACCAGTTTATTTGCATTTGTTCTCTGACAGTCTTTTGATTCTCTCTATGGAGTTAGTTGTCCAAGCTACGGATTACTACTCTCAGATCTTCCTTTTTCTCAGGAAGATGGCCTGCTTTGTTTTATATCTTTTTTGTTTGTTTTTAACCTCCAGGAGACTCAGGTTTTTGTGCTTGTGATGGCGGCGTCCCTAATACTGGACCACCTGGGGAACCAGGCCTGCCTGGGCCACCAGGTTTCATAGGTCTACCAGGCCTCACAGGAACACGAGGAGATCCAGGCTCTGAGGGTGCAGAGGGCCCAGCCGGGGCTCCAGTAAGTTGTGCCAAACTTTGGCCCTGAGGAAGCAATGGGAGCTTTCAAGTACCTCTCACTCCCCGCTGATCACTTTTCTAAAGCACATTTAAAAAGAAAGAAAAAAAAGAAGGGACTAAAATAAAACTTCAGCTTTTTGATCTGTAATAAGAAGAGGTCTATCTAAATGTTTCCTAAAGTCTCTTTCTACTTTAGTCTACCCACATTCTTTTCCTCTCTCCCTTTCTTCTTCCCATAAAATATATATTGTTTACATTTGCCTAACACTGTGCTAGACTCTGAAGATAAAATTAGGATTAAGACTAGGTTACTGTCTTCAAAGACTTAAAAATTTAGAAAAGATATGGTAAATAATTGGACAATTATAATCCAAGATGGCAACATAACAAAGCACCCAGAGCACTGTCAAAATGTACCCAAGGACCTGTCTTAGGTCAGACCTTATATTAGGTGCTAGAAGTCTATGAAATCTCTCTCCCCTTATTATTCTGTTTTGTCTCTCTGTCAGGGTTTATTTGGGCTTCCAGGTCCTGCAGGCCCCAAAGGAGAGAAAGGGGAACGGACTTTCAGTACAGGATCACGGATGCCAGGGGAGCAGGGTGATCGTGGCCCTCAGGGGCGCCCTGGTGAGACAGGAGTCCCAGGCAAAGACGGAGTCCCAGGTTTACCAGGTCTGCCAGGCCTTCCAGTAAGTTGATCACTCCTATAAATCCTCATTGATAAGATTTAGGGGTTCTGATGGCCAGTTGATCATGAGACAGGGCAGACTAGAGAGAGTCTTGAAGCCTCTGAAGTCTTTCTGCCTCTGCCACTGATTCATTGAGACAACCAGGACAATTTATGCTCTGTGCTTTTCCTTTCTGTAAAATGGGCATTGTTTTCTCAGACTGGGTCATTGTCCCATTTCAGATATGATAGTAAAAATTACCAAGGAGCCCTGGTGGTTCAGTGGGTAAAGCACTCAGCTGCTAACCGAAAGGTCAGTGGTTCAAATCCACCAGTAGCTCCATGGAAGAAAGATGGGGCAGTCTGCTTCTGTAAAGTTTATAGCTTTGAGAACTCTGCAGGACAGTTCTACTCTGTTCTGTAGGGTTGCTATGAGTCAGAATTGACTCGACAGCAACGGGTTTTAGTAACAGTTGGCCATATCACTTAAAATGCTTCAACTGCTCTGTGGCTTTACCCTTCAAATAATTCCAGCTGCTTTCTGCGACCTCAACAGTTACTGTTAATCTGCTCCTGTTTCCTTCCCTCCAGATCTAGAACCTTTTGCATTGTCAGATCACCCGGGGTGACAAGACTCATTTTGCACTAACTAAACTCAGAGGAGGTTGATTGATACCTTAGAGTGATTAAGGAGATTTTTAGGAAAAAACAAAGTATTGATCATACTGTTTACTTCTTTCCTATACTCAAAGGACTCTCCAGATAAGTCTCTGAATTGGGTTTTCATTCTTTTTTGTGTATTGTCTAGGGTGATAGTAGACAGAGCTTTCGTGGAGAAAAGGGGTTTCCAGGACTTCCTGGTGAAAAAGGCCACCATGGCCCAACTGGCCTTCCAGGAATTGGGCTGCCAGGGTCTCCTGGACTTCGTGGACCTCCTGGAGACAAAGGAGTAGATGGATTACCAGGACAACAAGGTCTTCCTGGGCCTTCAGGTGAGTCAGAGAATCAGATGTTATTGGACGTGGAAAACTGACCCCTTATAACATGTAGCTATGACCCTGTTGTTGTTGTTTGCTGTCCAGTCGAACCCGACTCATAGCGACCCCTCCTTGGGTTTCCGAGGCAGTATCACTACGGAAGTAGATTGCCCAACCTTCCTTCTGAGGAGTGGCTGGTAGGTTTGAACCGCCAGTCTTCTGGTTAGCAGTCAAGTGCCTTAGGCACTATGCTACCAGAGTTCCTAGCTATGACCTTAGTACATTAAATATCATAAGAAGAGATTTGGCTAGCTATAATCACTGCTTTCAATTTTCTTCAGGGTTTTCTTGTGGGGAAAAAAATAAAAAGGTCAGAATTGTATTTGGGTAATCTTTGTGGGCAGAACAATATAGATTTCAGTTCTACTTAGTGAAGAACTTCCTAAAAGAGCTGTATGAAAATGTTGCAAGATGCCTTGGGAGCTATAAGCTCATAATCACTGGCAGAGTTTAAGCAGAAGCTGGATGACCATTTACTAACAATGACATGAAACTAATGAATGGGAAAGTGAACAAGGTGTCCTTTAAGTTGTATGGTAATATCATTACATCAGGGAGGAACCTTTCCTCAATTCGTGAAATATCAGAATGGGAAAAGATGGCTAGTTGTATCTAATCTAACTCCATTTGATACCTTTAATTCTCCCTTTTATTTAACATCTTATTCTACTTGAATATCAGGGTTTATAATGTGTGGTGGTCCCAATTATAGATTGTGAAGGGCCTATGCTAATGATTCATCTTCCTTAATACAACCAGACAGCTCTTCATTTCAACTTCGGTGTTTAGTGGTGCCACACTTCAAGTCATCTAAAGTTTGAAAATTTGAGATTTATCTCTTATTCTTCCATTGCAATGACTCATTTTCTTCCCTCTGTTCTTCTTGCTCTTAAGCTCTCATTATTTCATGCCTAGCTTATCAGATGTCTATAAGCTTGTTGGAATAAATGGATGGTTAGATGGTTGGATAAGTGAGTGAATGACAACTTCCTAAGAAGTTTCTCATCTCCTACCTCTAAACTTTCTCCCACTCAATTCCACTGTGTATATTACTGCAAATTTAATATTTGTAAAGTGTCAATTTCCATACTACCTAATCCAAAGCCACCAGTGGTCTCCACTTTATAGAGGATAAAGTCCAAATTTCGCAGTCTGAAATTCAAATATCTTCAAACATGGATACAACCAAACTTTCCAACCATATTATATGCAATTTATGATTTAAAAAAAAATACATCACATCAGTCTTCACTGTACAAAAACACATCTCCAAGTCCAAGATTTTGCCCATGTTACCTTTTTCTGGAATGTCTTTCCTTTTTTCTGTATCTTGTCACTTCCTACTCATCTTTCAGAGTTCAATGTAAGTTCTACTTCTTCCATTAACCCTCCCTTCGACCTCCACATATGTCATTGCCCCTTAAGTATCTATTTCCTTCCTTTAATGCTTTGACTTTTCCCAACTACACTGTAAACCTCTAGATAACAGGGAAAGTGTGTAATATCTCTCATTGTCTCTCAACATGCCTAGCATAGTGAAATGTTCCACGGGAGACATATATATTTGCAGAAGAAAGGGTTTTCCCAATAACCAGGGGACTATTTTTAAGATCCGTTTTTCTTCTTTCCACCTTGTCACCTTGAAAGATTAAAAAAAAGAAGACAGGATACTAGTCTTATAAAATTTTATTTGTTTTAAAACCTACTTATTGTGAATTGGTGCAATAAGGATGATAGTGCAGGTCAAAATTTATGATCCAAGATTCTTCAAACCAAGTTGGTATTTCATTTCACAAATTTCTGTCACGGCTATGAGGAATTTAATCAAACAAAATTATTCTGCCCTTTGGAAATCCTGGTGACAGCTATAGCTTTTCCTCCAGAGACATTACTTCATGGTCATGCCCACTGCCCCTCTGTCAGTTGGGCCATCACTCTAGATCAGCCCATTTTGTAGGCAATTAAGTTTTCAACTGAATTATAATAACATTGCATCTATAAACTTACACACCCCTAAAGCTTCTGGATGTTATCAACAGTCCAACTGCTTGAAAACAGGCTGAGTCCACACAAGGGAAATCACAGGACCATTTCTACCTCAAACTTCACTAGTCCTTGGGCACAGAAAGTTCTTAGGAGCATAGTGACATAATAAGCTAAAGTCTGGGAGATAACTTGTGCCGGAAATATTCTTGTTGCTGTATCAAGAATTTAAAAAAATATTTTAATTGAAAGCATGAGCTTTCTATTTTTCTATATTGCAACCAAATGTAACTCCCTAAACATAGCTTGCTTTCCACACAACTTTAAAAAGAAAATCACCTGTGGGCCCCAGATATTTGCATTGTAGTCATTGCTGTTGCCAGGAGCTCTGGTAGCATAGTGCCTAAGGCACTTGACTGCTAACCAGAAGGCTGGTGGTTCAAACCCACCAGCCACTCCTCGGAGGAAGATGGGGCAATCTACTTCCGTAGTGATACAGCCTCGGAAACCCAAGGAGGGGTCGCTATGAGTCAGGTCCGACTCGATGGCACATAACGACAACAACAACATTGCTGTTGCTGTGAAAATTAATATGCTGTTCCTGAATGTACCCACACCAACCACTGGTAGTCCAGGCTAGGACAGCTGCATTGCCAAGAAAAGGAATGTAATCATCAGAAGCCTTTCAGCCTCGTATTGTGAATTATTACAAACCTTGGACAAGCAGACAACTGATTGCTTCCAAAGAGGTTCTGTTCCAGCTGCTGGTACTAATGAATCCTGGCTATTACTGAAACAGCTACTGTGTGCTTGATCCTGTGTGGATGCCAGCCCTCTCCACTCAACACAGAGAATTTGATTGGTGGGCATATCTGGGCCCAAGGGCCTTGAGGAGCTTAATATTCTTGTTTACTTGCTTGGTCTAGGTGACTGCTGCTGCAGAGAGAAGGTTGGTGAAGGAGTCGTAGATACAGAGGGAGGTGAGAGCTAGCTAAGTCTAGAAGCTCTCAGACACCAGTGTTGGCAACCCTTTCCCCTTTTGGTTCACCTTTTCTCAGACACTTGCAATGGCTTCAGCACCACACTGTTGCCCCTGGCTGGGGAGGAGCGATCCTGAGCCTGCAGTGCAAAGGCTAACACTTACTGCTTTGGAGACTCCTTGACACATACCTTCTGGGGGGAGTGTGGGAGTAAATGGGCATGTAGCCTCTCAGAGTGGCCGGTTGCCTTCACCATGCATATTACTGGCTTGGCTGATCTCTACCTTAAGCAACTTCATTTTCTAACCTTCACTGGCCCCATAACTTGCCTCCAGAGTTACCTGAAAAGATCCACACATGTCTGATCTTTAGTTGTTGGATCCAGAGCAAATTGAGATGTCAGAATCTTGATAACCAAAGATCTTTTTTTATTCTGAAGATGAATTTTTGCATTAATGGAGGAAATTCTGACTAATTAGGTTACTTATTGCACTTCCCAAACAAAACATGAGTAGAATTGATCTTTGTTTTGTTGAGACAGCTCTGAATTCAGGAATATAAAGTAAAAGAGCTGATTAGCAATATGGCTTGAAGTTTTCACCTATTTGCCATTTTGACATTACTTGCAATGTATAGATTTGGCATGGTGTACAGGACTGGCCTGCAGCAAAATTATGAAGGGAAGCCTGTCTTTTATTACCTCTAGTTTCTACTCATCTTCCCATTTATCATTTTTTTTCTTGTCCTGGAACCTTTCCAAATGCCTGTCATTAGCCTCATCCTCTAAAGGCTTTGTTTTTATCTGGTTGTCAGAGATGAAAAAAAATCTATTAAACTGATATAAGTTGAGGATGGATAGCTTCGTGTTTGGACCCACCCCAGAGACATAAGCACTTAACCCAGTTCTTGGTTTAACGCATAAAGCAGTGGAACTGCAGCGGTGGAGACTGACACACGGGAGCCAATGGTTTGTTGAGACACTTGAGGGCAGAAGAGTGTTCTACAGGGGCCCTCTCATGGTGCCATTTATGGAGGCAGTTCTTCAGCATCGTCCAAAGGACCCCAGCTGGAGTCGTGTATGGGGCTGGGTGCCCCCTCCCAGTGAAGCATCTTACCATGAGGAACTCACCCATAGACCTTAAACATAGTAAGGAAATAACTCTCCGAAATAGCTCCAGCAGCTCCATATCTGGCAGGATGGAGTTGGATGTGAGTATCTATTGAGGAGGATCCAAGCCTAGGGCAATATCTCCACCTATGGAAATGTGACTGTAGATACCCAAAGTATAGAAGGCAGAAAGTTGCTGCTCAGACTACGAAGTGACTAACTTAGAAGCTGAGAGATGGTCTTGCAGTTGCTTTCCTGAATACTCTTCCTTAAGTAAGACAATAAGAACATTATTCATTCAGCACTTTCCAGGCTGCCAGGCACTGTGCTAAGTAGCATTAGCACTATTTCATGTAATCCATCACCAGATAAGGTAGGTACTTCTCATTTTATACATGAAGTTCAGAGAGGTTAAATATCTTGCCCACACAGCTACTTAGTAGCAGAACTAGGATTCAAACTCAGTGCCCATCCTCATAACAAATGCATTGTACTATTCAATTCCCAATCTTGATTTAAGAATAGAATGGGCTAAAAATGCCATCAAATCTTTATATTTGCAAAGAGAAGTGGTGTTGGAGGGTGAGTGCCAGCCAGTTAAGTAGTCTGAATCAAAGGCTGTATACATAGCTTTAACAAATGCAATTTGTGATTTATTTTAAGCACAGGCAAAAGCTATTGCATTTTATTAGAACTGTTGTCTCTGTGACTTAAAGCAGACCTTGGGGGATTGTTAAATGAATAGGCAAGACTTAATTTTAATTAGCATAGCAATTGTTTGTAAATGGCACTTGAGGGAGCTGACAAATGATTTGTTCCCCAGTATTTTATTAAGACTCCCCTCTGTGATCTTATAGACTTTTTATTTGCATTATGAATAAGCAAGACAGAGTTTGTGAAGGGAAGGGCTATGCTTGTCTGTTTCAAAGTATTTAATAGTGAAAGTGACTGTCCCTTCTCCCTGAGTTGAGTTCCAAATGAGGCGCTGAAGGAAGGGTCTAGCTTTGTCTATCATGGACAAGAGTGTGGCCTTCAGTGTTCACCTGGTACAGTTCATCAGACCAACAACAGACATTAAATAGGTCTCAGGAGATCCCACATGAGGTGTCAGGAAAAAAAAAAGAAGAAAAAACAATGGTTTGAGGAAAGCCTCATTCCAAGAAAAGGACAGACATGTGAACCTGAGGAGTCGTGTCTTCAAACCCTCACATTTAGTCATATAGGTACAGGCATATCTTGGAGATATTGTGGGTCAGTTCCTGTTCTGGTTACCTAGTGCCATTCTGACAAGAATATACCACAAATGGGATAGCCTTAACGAACAGTTTATTCTTACAATTTGGAAGCTTTTATCGAAGTTCAAAGTGCCAGGCTCTAGGGACTTGGTGAAAGCCCTTCGACCTTGGGCTTCAGCTCTGTCTCTTGCTCCCTGCCCACTGAAGCTAGAGACATCTCTTCACTCAGGCAGCTACTGGCTGCTGAGGTTAACAAGCCCAAGGTCGATAAATAAAATGACACAATGTTACCCAATCACACGGCAGGCCATTCATTCAAGTCCACTGAAAGTCCCAAGGTCGGCAGAGCATGGCAGGCTGCTGAACAATGACACGGCTACGTGCAGGGTTCAAGCATGCCATAAAACTAGAGACCATTCCCAAAGCTGTTTCTTATATACGGGAAGCAGACCACCTACCAAAAGCAGCTACTCAGCTGCTCTGATAGAGTCCACCATGGAGTTAATTACCTGTCTCACCATAGGGAATAACTACATCCAGCTGCCCCAGCCACTCAACCAGGCCTAGCCAAGTTGACACACAAACTTAACTACCAAAGTTCCAAATCACCACAATAAAGCAAATATCGCAATAAAGTAAGCCATATGCATCTGTTGGTTCCCTAGTGCCTATAAAAGTTATGTTTACATTATACTGCAGTCTATTAAGTGTTCAATTGCATTATGAAAAAGTTTCAAATATTGTGAGAATTACCAAAATGTGACACAGAGACATGAAGTGAGCACATGCTGTTGGAAAAATGGCCCCAATAGAATTGTTTGATGCAGGGTTGACACGTGCCTTTGATTTGTTATAAAAAAAAAAAAGCAATACCTGTGAAGCACAATGAAACGAGGTATGCCTGTAGAATAGACCATTAGGGCTAACCCCGACTCTCTACAGCAATGAGTTTTTGAGTAGGAGTAACCCTAAGCACTCACCCTAGAAAGCAGCTCTGTCTGAGGGCAGGGTGAGGAAGCAATTGCCACTTGCTGTTGTTCCTGCATAGTTACCTCTAGGAAACATTGTTAGGTAATAGCTGCTGTGTAAGTGACTAGCCAAGGCATTTGACTGCTAACCAGAAGGTTGGTGGTTTAAACCCACCAGCCGCTCCACTGAAGGAAGATGGGCCAATCTACTTCCATAAAGATTTACCACCTCAGAAATGCAATGGGGGGTCGCTGTAAGTTGGAATCGACTCAACAGCAGTGAGTTTGGTTTTTGGTTTTTACCAGGCACCGATGTTTTGGGAAGTAAGACCTTGGCAGTTGGACACCAGGGACATTCGCATCTGTAAATAATTGCACTCTAGGAGTAACACCCAAGAGTTTCTGATGCCAAGATTCTTGTGCATGGCCTGCCAGCTACTGGGTGGGAAAAAGAATGTGGCCATTCCATTAAGTGGAATGGGATAAGAGAAAAAGAGCATGTTAGGGCAAAGTCTTCCTTGACTCAGTGGGCTCACCAGGTGCTTACATGTTACCATTTACAGGAATCACGTTGCCATGTATTATTACTGGGTCATATGGTCCATCAGGCCTCCCAGGAACTCCCGGAGTCCCAGGTATGTAATGGGGCTAGAGAAAGCCACTGAACACAGCTGTAAAGGCTATGAGTCTAAGGAAGCAGAGCATAGCCCAGTAGCATTTGGGGATCTACATTCCTCCTGAGAGGGCAGCCTTGGGGGATTAAGGCAATAGAATTTTGGAGAGGGCAATGTGGGAAGGTGAGGCTAGGAGAGGCCCTCCAAGAGACTAGGAGTCTTGACTGAATGTCAAATGTCACTAGGTAGCTATGTCTAGCTATAGTGACTTTCCTTTCCCCTCACTACTGATGTTTGGGTTTTCAGGCCCTAAAGGTGCCCGTGGCTACCCTGGGACTGTTGGCCAGCCTGGATTACATGGAGCTAAAGGAGAACACGGAAGTTCTGGAGTAGTTCATCTCCCTGAATTGCCAGGTAAGGAAAAGAGCTTCTCCTTGCTTACTTCTCCTTTTGTGTGTGTGTGTGTGTATTGTGGTAGCCCTCCACCAATTACAGGAAGCTAGGTTTGCTCTCTGGTGTGGGTGGGAAGGTTTGATTTCATACCCAGGCAAGACAGAGCTTAGAGTCTGCAATAGAATGACAGAATATCAGAGCAGTAAGGGCCATTGGAGATCAACTAGGACAACTCCTTTACTTTCAGATGAGCAAACTCAGACCTAAATGGAAAAATGACTTGCCTGAGATCACAGAGACTAGGACAGGCCATTTGACAGCCAGTTCTATGGCAGTTTCCTAAATCAACTCCTCTATGGCCAGAGAAGGAGATTCAGATCAGATGGAGGAAAGTTGCCCAATCCCTTTCTATCCTTTTTCCCATATGCTGTTGGAACCTGTGCTTCATCGTTTGACACCATACCAGTGGTTCTCAAAGTGTGGGCCAGCAACTTCAGCAGCACCCAGAAGCTTGTTAGAAATGCAAATTTTTGGCCCCTCTCTGAGACCTATTGGTCAGAAACAATGGAGGTGGGGCACTGATTTAACAAGTGCTCCCCCACCCCAGGTGATTCCAGTGGTGCTCAAGTTGGCAAACCACCAGTGCCCACAGCAAGGGCTCATTTTGGGCCACATGCTGTTGGAGTTTGTTGGTGCCTCACTTCCCTCCCCTCACCCAGGAAGGGGGAGGAATCCCAGCAGGAGTTAGACAACCCCAGGAGAGGTCGGGGCTCTTCCCAGGGGGTCAAGGGTATAACCTGTGCTCTTTGGCAATCATAGGAGCCCCAGGAGCAGGTTGCTGAGCTCTGCCCAGCAGCAGCCTCACTGAAATAGAACTTCCTCCAGAGCAGATGGTGTTCAAACCCTGCCTCAGAGCTAGTCTTCCTAGAACCAGAGATTCCTGATCTTCAAGAAAAGTGGCACATGTTATCAATATGTTAGCTTCATATTTTAAAAAAACATCTGTCTCAGAGATCTCTACCTAGGCCAATTGCTTATACACATCCATGGTCTTTTCTTTTTGCCTCTTTACATTTAGGATTTCCTGGATCTCGTGGGGAGAAAGGCTTGCCTGGGTTTCCTGGGCTCCCTGGAAAAGATGGCTTGCCTGGGAAGGTTGGCAGTTCAGGTTTACCAGGTCCCAAGGGAGCCCCTGGTGACATCTTTGGTGCTGAAAATGGTGCGCCGGGGGAGCAAGGCCTCCCGGGATTACCAGGGGATAAAGGATTTCCTGGAGAGTCTGGCCATCCAGGACCCAAGGGTGACTTTTATCTAAAAATCTACAGAAAATCCTTTAAGTAACTGGTATATTTATACTTGCATGGATGTGGGCTTCTGGGATGAGGGATTCCTTTGGGGGTTAAAATAAAATACCATTTTCTGGGTTTTTTTTTTTTTTGGCAATTTCCTTAAGTAGCCTGAGTCCATTTTCCTACCTTCATAATTCCAGAAGTGACCATAATTTCTTGCAAAGCCTCAGGTTCACTGCTGGAAATAACAATAAGGATGGAGCTGAGAAAATACTAGCACCTGGGATGAGTCCTGAGCCAAGCTCTTCCTCTGGAAGGTGGTTTGGTGACCCGATCCCTGCTATCAGTCTAGGCTGTGATCATCTGCCCTTTCCTTTCACTAGGTTTGCTTGGAAAGTCTGGCCTGATGGGCACCAAAGGCGAGCGAGGCAGCCCTGGAGCACCTGGACACATGGGGCAGTCAGGACCCCCAGGGCCTAGTGGGTCATTTGGCATCAAGGGAAAACCTGGTCTCCCAGGAGCAGCAGGGCTTCCAGGTGTGTCAGGTAGGTCCTTTAGAGAAGGATGCCCAGCTTGACAGACTTTAGCTCAGTTCTGGGTCCAGGCACCCTGGGGGGCAATCACAGCTGCATAACATGGTCAGAACTGAAATAAGACTTGACTTTCCTAATCTCTCATGTTTAAAGTCACCCTTGCAGTGCCAGGCAGAGTGGACTTCTCCAGTTTAACTCCTCTAATATTACAACAAATAACAACCCTTTCCTCTCCCATAAATTGTCCCTGGGTGGCACAAACAGTCGAACACTTGGCTGCTAACAGAAAGGTTGTTGGTTCAAATCCACTCAAGGTGCCGTGGAAGAAAGCCCTGGCAACCTGCTTCTGAAAGATCACAGCCATGAAAACCCTATGGGGCACGGTTCTACTCTGCAACATGTCGGGTTGCCATGAGTCTGAATCAACACGACAGCAACTAGTTTGCTTTGTTTCCCCCCCACACATCCTCACTTCCCCTTTTCACGCTTCAGCCCTTCCCCTGCCTTCCTCAGAGAACTCACCCTTGTTATTGAGGTAGATCTAGCCCCTCTCTGTTGCCTTCACTGGGGCCGTGGGGAGCCTCCTTTGGATTAGAGGAGGAGCTTGAGCAGAATGTGACTGCCCTGGACACCTGCCTCTCAGATGAGCATGCCCCTGAAGATCCATGGCCAAAGCATCTTTCCTTCACCAGCGGGACCTGCCAAACCCTGGTTCCAGCCTAGGGTTTGCAGCTTGCCTCTTTCTAGTACCACCCTCCTCACCCGGCTTCAGTTACTATATTACCACCCCTCCCCTCACTCTTGGCCAAGTGACAGATGTTGAGTTATTTGCAGAACCACTAATATCCTTTTTCTCCCCTTTGTCCTTCTATGTTTCTGGGGTCTTCACATAGGCTGTCCAGGTGAGAAAACACAGCACACAAGCTCAAAAAGTAACACTCCCACCAGCTTTGCCGCTCAGGGAATTATCTGACTATACACTATAACCTGGAGTGGCCTGCAAGGCCAGGGATCTCTGAATTCATGCCATGGGGTTGCCTCCTATTGAATTTCCTTCCCTTGTAGCGGGATCCCCTTCACAGCCTTCCATTTGAATCCTGGGGCTTGCAGCTACTTGATGCTTTTCAATCCTTAGAAAGCCAAGTCAGCCATTCATTTAGGCCCTCGGGGGCCCAAATACCTCTGTCATCATTGATTTAATCCTTTGGTTTTTTTTAATTTCCTTGCTTTGTACCTGAACATTCCACTTTGGCAGCAGCTCAGGAGGTTAATCCCATTGACCAATTTAAAGCATGGTTAAAGTCTCCGAATACCTAGGAGACCAAATGGGCCTTGGGGATTTCTACAGTATTTGGCACTAGGGGGTCTTTCAACCTTAATGCCAAGGAACTGGCTGATTTAACTGCTTGCATGAGGGATTAAAAGGGCAGCCCTGTATCCATGGCTCCCTGGGAGGCTGAAACAACAGCTTAGCTTTAACCTCTCCTTCACCGATTGGCTCAGGAAACAGCCATTGTGAGATGATTCAGACAGGAAGTACCAGGAAACTGAAGCTCAGTTGCCAGAGCTCCATTCAAAGGCTAAAGTGTGAACCACACTCACAGAGGGGGTGAAGAAGGTGTAATCAGAAGGGGTTTGCTCTCCCTGCCAGCTACTGTGCCATGCTGGACGTAATAGCCATTGGCGTGGTGCTCTGGGTGATAGGTGCTAATGCTTCAGCTGACTAAGAACTCTGCCTGTTAGTAGCCTGCATATGCCAATGTGAAAGGTCCATTTACAAAACCCAACAAGCCAGCCAACCAGAAGCCATGGGAATGGGCATTGGCCCAGATTGAACCAGAGCCTCACTTGACAACTGTTCTGTGTTCTCTCCGGTGCTGATTCAGGATTCCCTGGGAAGAAGGGCTCAAGAGGCAAGGCAGGTCACCCAGGATCAACTGGAATGAGAGGTCTGCCTGGGATCAAAGGCCTTCCTGGATCTCCAGGCGTGATAGGCTTCCTGGGGAGCTCAGGCTTGCCAGGGAGCACAGGGTTACCAGGCCTCCCAGGCCCAAAGGGTAAGTGGAGTGATCACCAAGATACCAGTGGGTGCCAGCAAGGAGCATCCAAGCTGTCCAGCTTGCCCCCTCCTCTCTGCCAAGGAATGGAAGAAGGGGGAGGAAGGTAGGCAGGGC